CACATGGAAGAATTGCGGCCAAAAAGCCATACCTCTGATGTGGAAACAAGGCTAAGTGACTCAACTATGCACAAAAACATAGGAACTGGGGTGCAGAAAAATGGCATGAAAGCATTCTTACTTTACAGCATTTTTTCAGACCTGCCTAAAACTTTTGCACAGTGCTGTATATCTTTTAACGTATTATTTATACAGCCCATTCTTTCTTTGTTGTTGTTTTTACAATGGATATTTTGACATACTGGTTGACATACTGTCTCTGTTTTTCAACTCAGACTAACCCAGAAATCCACAGTGAGCTGCATTATAGCTATAAATTCCATAAGCATTTCAAGCATGCATGCATGCATGCATTTCAGTCCTTCTCAATCTGAGCATTCTTCAGATGGGTGGGCTTTGAATCCCAAAGTTCTCAGCAATGGTCATTCTGGCTTGGAAACCCTGAGTGTTAAAGTCCACATATCTGGAAAAAGTCCAGCCATCTGGGTCCGGCTGGTTAATTGTTTTCAAGTTCTTAATCAACAGCCAAATGAACAAAAAGAAGATCTGTATAATATGACTAGAGGGAACAGAAGCATCATGACTTACATTCCTGCAATCATCTTGCCTTGAAAACTATGTTTCTACTGCAGGCAATTTGTTGCCTTAACTACAGTCATAAAGAAAGGATTTGCCTAAAGAGAGCAGCAGTGTTCCATGACTAATTTGTTCTGATCTGATTTTTTTTTTTTCAAAGAAAGGACACCAGAGAACTCATCTTCAAGACTATTTAAGGATTCTTTGTTCTCAATCCTGATGACAGCCCTAATTGATTCCTTCAAAGCTGAGAAATCCAAGGCTAGGCATACCAGTTTTGAAAGTGAAAATGAGATAGGGGTTAGGCAGTTATATCTGCTATGAGCCAAGCAGATAATGAAAACAACTTTTCAAAGGATTTCAGAACACTTCAAAACAATTGGTTCCAAAAAACAAAACAGGGAGTGTTTGAGCTCATGTATTAACCTAGTGATGCTAATTGGAGATGAAGAATAATAACATATTTTCCAATTCTTATTTTTCACTCAAGACAAGTGACAATCTCCATGAGTGACACTCCAAAATGTAGTCTTAGTTCATCTGCATAGCATCAATACACACAGATGTTTAAAGCTTGATAGCTGATGAACAGTTGGTAGAACTCTTCAGAGATGAAATGTGCACTGAAGCTTTGCATATGGCACTGGAGAAGCACTTACATTTAAGATTAAAAGGGCTTTAAAACAGAAGGTGCATTTTTAAAAGCTACTGCTTAGGTCCAGTGTAGTAATTACATTTAAGATTAGAAAGGCTTGTAGATAGCAGATCCATTTTTAAAAGCTAGCACTTAGGCCAGATTATTTATTTTTCCTTGACTTGCATTATCACACATGTTGAATTAATAAACTGCAATAATAGTGTCCAAGACAGACTATTATGTACTTTGTAAAATCTCACTCAATAGCTTTTACTCTCTGTCCTTTTTTAATAAATAAATTTAAAAGTAAAACATATGAAACTTAAACTAATCAGTAATGCAAGGGAAACAGCAGCAAACTGTATACTGTGCTGCTGTTCATGTATTTATTAAAGCAGTCTAGATTAGTTACAGTTTTTATTAGAATGAGACTCCTCAACACTCCTATCCAATGGAACTAGTGTGCATTTGGAGAACTGAACCCTGCAGATGTTTCCTTGATTCATTTAAAGATAATGCCTTCATTTCTTACCAACATGTATGGCTGATTAACATTAAGCTAAGGTTTGTTTTAATCAGTTTATTAAAAAAGCCAAGTGAACCAACACATAAGCCACAGAGTTCACAAACCATGATGGAGCTCATACCTAGGCTAAGCCACAACTTGTGTTGTAACCACCACCACCACACAGTAAAAAGCCTTTCAAGGTAATCTCCCTGACCATCTTGATCCTACTTTACAGTCTACAAAGTTGTAGCTAATCCAATCCAGCAGTCTTCCGTTTTTTCCTCTTTAGTTTGAGTCATTACCCAGCCTTGAGCTCCTCTGATATGGACTGCAGCTGAAGAGAACTGCACCAACTTCAACTTTTCCCCTGACAGTTGATAAGTTCCTATCATTTTAATAATAAGTTGCTTCTTTCCCACTTTATTCACAGCACGGTTTAATTTAGAATGCTGATGTTCCCTCCTTTTGACATTCCCTACCCTGACTTTATGCAGCTTAAAAATCTGACTTGACTTACACTCAGAATGCTCTTTAGGTCCTTCCTTATGATTTTTCATTGAACTGTCAGGACTATTCTGAAGAACAGTTCTCTTGAGTGCAGTCCAAACCAAAAGGAGCTGGAGGAGAGTTTTCCATACTCATCAAGAGGGCAGCAGAAGCCTCTAGAGGGCTGAGGAGGAGAAAACAGCAGATTTTAGGATCACTCCTCATAATAATACGTTATAAAGATTAGAGATCCTAATGCAAGCTCATGAGCAGAACATCATGAGCAGAAGTCACAAAGGGGGCGGGGGGAGAGATTACTTCCACATTTCCACCTACCTCTGGTCCAACTGGCTATATGACAATCTTTAACAAATACCAAACATTCCAGAGAATCTTCTCTAGCCCGCCTTGATATATTACCTTCTGCTATTATTGATGGCAGATATCCTAAAATGTTCAATATACATAGATATGGTAAAGAAGGTAAAGGAATAGAATCAGAAATATCTTAAGACCCTCAATTCAAAATGTTTTTGCCCTTGGTATGGACATCTTACGATATTGCCATTTTTATATGGAGTTATGAGCCATCTTAATCATGTCCGTCATAAAAGATTTACCAGGCACAGAAGATTATTTCTCCCTTCAGACCTATGTTATAGGTTCCATACCCAAGTTTTCCATTGCAGTCACAAGAATATGTACCCAGCAGAATACTCACCAATATTTAATACTATCCAGGTTACTAACTATACTGCTGCTGGAGGTCTAAGATAGTAATAATAATAAACACTGACTGGATTTGAAGTCTAGAGCTGAAAGGCGAAAAGTTGTACAGCCTACATTAATCTCTTTACACCACATTAGCTGCATAATTTCTCTCTCCCCTTTTAGTGATTTGGCAATTGTTAATTCTGATTTGACTCTCATCTTTAATTTTCTACTTCTGTTGTTGTTGTATTTGAGTCAATGACTGTAAATAACTATTGACTTTACTATTAACCCATTTATCTCTGCAATCCCAATACTGAGTAGTATGAAAGATTATCAAAATTAATTGGTGAACTTTAATTTCACCAATTAATAATAAATTCCTGTGGACAGCAGTTTCCATCAACCTTTCTACAAATGGAAGGAGCCAACAAATAGTCATACTATATGTGCTGTGTCCCATGTACTTCCATCTCTGAAAATTTAAGACATATAATACAACTAGTTGACAAGGAAATTATGAACTGCATAAACAAAACTGGTTATGAGTAAAGTCACCAATATACTGTACACTATTTATTCTACATACTTCACTTCTTTACATGGGCTAAGAATCTTCTCTTCCCATCCTTAGATATCCCTCCCCAAAACCACATATAATTTATACTGTACATGGATTTATACTTTATATACCTCTTTTCTACCAGCAGAAGTATTTTCCCCCATAGGTAAGCAATACAATTCCAGAAAGCCTGGATAAAAAGAATGCTATTGTAATTTGGTTCAAAGAAAAAAAAGTTGAAAAGAGAACCAGAATTTACTGAGGTTGTCTTTCTAAAACAAAAGTACTAGAAAGGCATGTATTCATAATTGAACTAATGATTATAACACTTCAGGTACCTCTTGCCTTTTTCTTTCTTCTTGGGTGATGGTCTGAGATAACCCATTCCTCTTCACCTGAAATGAATGCTAAATTATTAATATATTTCTATAACTCATACTTTTTAAAAAAAGATACAGTCCATTTACTTACTTTAAACCATAGTTTCTAAAATGTAAAGCTATTTCATTATAGAGACAGCAACTGACAATTTATGATCATACCTACATGGTCTGTCAGCTACTCAGTGGTAGGTAACTTCTGTGCTGTCAGTTCCCTTTGCAGGATCACAACTACTGAAGCTCTGCCCAACCAAAGGCATTCTGCAGAGATTCCATTATGGCTTCTGGATGTAAAAGGAAAATTGCCCTGTTCAGGGTGTTACTGCCAAAAGTGTGTTCTCAATTTCCAGTAAACTAAGGTGTTAATTTAGTTCTGGCAGAGCAGGAGTTCCCAAACTGCACGATGCCCCAGAAATTTCAAGGGTGGAACACGAATGTGAAATTTGGGGGGGGGGGGGGGAGAATCTGTTCTAAAAAAAAAAGGTACTTGTTATATGAAAATTCTAACAGACTGGGAATATTGAGGGGAGCTGATGGAACGTTCTATGAAGATTGGCGGATCAGTGCCGGGCATGTGATAGGAAGGAGGGAGACAAAAATCTTGCAAATATTCATGAATGTGTGATTGGAAGATTAGGGTCTGGACAGACTGTGGAAAGGAGGAATAGAAGACAAATACATGCTATCTCTGTTACTTTTCTTTAAATTACTTTAAATTATTTTCATTAATTTTTTGCGCAAATAATCATTTGTGCTTCTTTTTACTCAAAAATATAAAATGTGTATCATGTGTTTGCATTTTATTTAATTAGTTTTAATTTATTTAACTTAATAAATTTAAAAAGTTTATTTAATTGAATTGTTTGTAAGGCCAGAAGTCAAAAACAAATAAAACGTAAAGTATGTGCGTACATGTATGTATGTATATACATACGTATATGTGTGTCTGTATATATACATATAAGTAAAACAGATAAAACTAAAAATTAAAGAAAAAATACAGTTTCAAATCACAAGGAAAGGTGGATAATACTTATATGAGCAACCTGGGAAGACATATCTGCATCCTGGTTGGACAAAAGCAGCAGCAAACAGAAGGCATTCTCTCTACCAATGAATCTCCCCAGAATAGGATACAGAAAAGTCATCCAGAATTCCATACAGAGAGACCAGAAAAGGAGCATACGGCTCAGGGACATATGCATTGGTGGTATAAATGGGTAGTTTTGTAGCACCTGAGCAAAATGGCAGAGGACAAGGCATCCAACCTGGCCAAATAAAGGCCTGATGAAAGTTCAAAATGGTGATAGAGGAAAGGTAAGAAGCTGGTGGGAAATGCACAAGTGTAAGCTTTAAGTTTGCTATCTCTTTGCTTGATGCACACTTAGGAAGCCTAATTTATTTATACAGTCTTATGCTTACCACAGAAAGAGGCATTACTTTACTGTAGGCTTATCCAGATTAGCGAAAGCATGCCTCTAATAATTTTAATACAAACACAACTCTCTATTACTATAAAAAAAGGTTAGAATTAAAATTAATCAGATCTGTCCTTCCAGATTCAATCATGCAGATCAGCTCCTCACATTCCTACAGCCTCAGCATGTCAAACTTGTCTTGCATATAAGAAAAAAGCAATTCAAGTCCCCATCCCCATATATTTTCTTTTCTAAGATCAAAATTTGGGACTGATCCAGATAACTGGTCATTTATAGGTACCTAGGTAATGAGAAAGGCCATTCATCAGATGATTTTATAAGACAGGGAATACTTAATTGTTCCTTTGTAACAACACTTCTTTACCTGAGATTCTCATTGTTCATGAAAGCAAAGGGGCTGTCACTCTGAGAATGGGATATTGGTATTATATCTCTGAAGACCTATTCTTTGTCTCTCTATGCTTCTGATGATCGGCTGCCTTAAGTCTCAATGAAAAAGTTCCCTGAAAGGCAATAATTAACTGTACCTAGCATACTTCTCTGTACAGCTTCACAGTGTATATTTGATACACCCTGTTAGCTCTCTATTTCTATAACTACTTTTCTGTATTTTATGTACTCTGGCAAAAGATGCAGCTATTTTAAGGTGTTGCAAATAACTTGAAAAACTTAATTGTATAACTTAACATATACTATTGCCAAGTTCATTTTCACTTTACTTCCTTATATGCTCACAATTCAAGCTATCTTTCACATGCGTATTATTGCCCTGTTATTGCATATTGTGAATGAGACAGCATAGCTTTTACTTCTTCAAACAAAGGGGGCTTTAAAAAGAGCTGGAATATATCACATTTCAAATAGCTTAGGAACTATTTTCAAAAGACTTTCTGTTCTATCCAGCTCCTTTTTCATGCAGTCAATTAAGAAGAGATAAGCAAACTAAAAAAAACCCCAACAGCCTTACATAAAACCAGAGCACATGGAAGGAACAAAAAGAGTAATCATAATAACCCACACACATAGTATCAACATTACATACATATTACCTATAACATTACACGCATGTACATAAGTGGGTGTTACATGCTTGCTTGCTTAAGTGGAAGTCATTTATGGTCGACAAAGAAGAAATTTCCAGTTGCAGCCCCTATGCAACATCCCGATCCTCTTCCCTCAATAGTTAACCACGTATCGTTTTAACTCAGCTATACTAGCTGGATTTACACATTACTGTAAATCATAAACCATGATTTCTACCCGCCAATGACTGTTAAACCAAAACCAAACAAGCCACATTATGTTCTAATTTGATATGTGAATCCACACAATGTTTTCATGAGAACTGTATCAAATAATAGCAGAACAGGGTTGACTCCAAAGCCTCATTGCCTAGTAAGAATCCCACTTTCAGTCCTTTGGATCCATCTCATAAATTCTATATGGAACCCTGGTATCAGATTTTCATGATACAGTAGTATTTTATTGTGAATAAATGAGTAACAAAGTGATTTGATTTTGCTATTTAGTCATAATACATGCCATTTAAAACAAGAGCATAATGGGAGTTGTGCTAATTTTTAGACCATACAATCCACATAGCTTGCAGTTGATGCTTGTACTATTAAATACAGGAGACAAAAGAGGACACAAGTTTACAGAAAATGTCCATGTTATAAGTTGTATATATACCACTGCCCCCAAAAGACACAAACTCACCAAACTATACTTTTTTGTAGAAATATAGTACTATTTTCCTAGTGCGGAAAACTGTGACTAAGTGATCTATGTTTCTATAGTCTGCTATTGTCCATGTGTTACTATGTTCCTCCTTAGAATTTATCCAGCTTTATCATGAAAAGACTTTCCAAAAAGGGCACTGTTGAAGACAGAACTATCCTCTATAAAGTATAACACACATATTTACCTTGTTTGTATTAACTATTTATCTACACCGTTTAATGCTGCAGCCTCCAGAGCTTCGTAAGAATCTGACTACAACCAACTTGTTACTCACCAGCTATTTAGCGCCTAGCAACTTGGTCCATCTCATCTTTGAAAGCCATGTTTTTTAGCCACAGCTTAACAGATTAGATTCTGCTAACCTACAGATCTTCCCTTAAAAACACATCACCTGGGCTCACAAACTCATTAAGTCATAACAGTTTGTTTGGTATGCTGAATAAACCCAACCAAATTACTCAATTTTGCTTCATATTTGGGAGAGCAAGAACAGGCCATAATGTGTGATTACTGAACTATATTTGGCATGGGGAATTTTTCTCTTATACCTTTCAATTAATCCAGTCATTCTTACATACAAGATTATGTTATAGCCTATAGTGCCTTTTTTTTAGAAAGTCATCACTGCATAAATAATAGGCTAAAGACAATTTTACTAAAGGGAATCAGAATCATTCTTGAATCATAAAAGCATTAAGTTTTCTTCTATTCACTTTTGGGAACAATAGTTGTATGCAAAGATACTGCCAAGTATTAAAATCAAATATAAGCAGCTAACTACACGTCTCTTAAGCGATTTATTAAATTGTACTTGTAAGTGCAGCTAACTTCAGAATACAAAAAAGTATAATTTTTGACCTCTTACAGATTAAGATTTTTCAAAATTATTTCCGTGGCTGTGAAACTGCAGGAAAATCGTTGTATCACGGCACTGGTTTTCATTATCTGCTTGCCCATTATCCATTTCACAGGCTGCTGATATCAACTGGGCAGGGGCTAATGACATGATTATTTTTTGCAACAGCTCTATCCAATCCCTATGGAATGGTGTGGGAAGCAACCACATGAAAGCAATAATCAAACTGCTAAGATAATGGCTAAGTTTGGATGTTCACACTATAATTTAAGCTCCCTGCAATGAGCCATTTCAGGCTGGAGCAGTCCATCTTCTCTCCTAATCCAGCAGAGACCACAGCAGGAAATTAGCAGCACAGCACAATTGGTTGTTCTGACTGCAATAGGTCAAACTTTGAGTAGTTAATGAAAACAACCGTTTTAAAACTGTTGATTAAAACAATGATTTTTGGCTTGTTCTTAAACTATGCTGTTAAGTTATGTTGTATATCCGATTTAGCTGAAACCCAGTTCAACTATACTGCTTCAGAAAGATTTAAGGAATTTTCACAGTGAATTTTTTGACTAAGCTCACATTTAAACTCTGAAAATTTTTAGCAATTTAGAATTTGGAAGGACAGAACATCTGTTCAGCTATTCGGCTGACTGTGTGGAAGGACAGACATATGGAAATACATAGAAAAACATGACCTGCCCTTGACTCTCCCTGCTCTTCATGGAGCGATCTGCATCTCTTAAGGAGAACTGTTACTTACATTGGCTAGACCTCAAAGGAATACACCTCTCCGTACAATGAAGGACCCCAATAAGGCAGGAGTATTCAGGAAAAAGTAACTTTTAAACTTCTACCTGAGCACAGAGATCAGGGACATAAAGAAGAAACCTGCTGGAGTCTTCCACACATTCAGTTGAATGCCTGACCAGGGCTTCCATCTCTGCAAAACTGAAATTGCTAGCAAAGTTTCAGGAGAGTTAGGATTCAAATTTAGTCAGTTTCAAAGAAGTCCCAATGGTTCCTTGATACAATAGTGACACGAAACGGCAGAGACAAGGAAAAAGGAAGGGGTAGTCTTTTGAGTGACAGCTTTAAAAGAGAACTATCACACTTTAAGGATATATTAAAAGCCATGCTTTCAGGGAACCAGTGTTTGCTTGTTCTGGCATTTATAAGAAAAGAACGTATTTCCATAACCTCTGTGCAGCTGCTCGTTCTTCATATTTTATATTTTTATTCTTTATGCACTGCTATACTGCCTACTCCATAAATTCAGCGCAGCTTAGTCATCACACATTAAAACATAGCCAATTAATCATTGGGCAATTAAACAGCTAACCCACATACTGCTGTCAGCCACATGTGAAGATCTCTCCAAAAGGCTCTGTGGAAAGACCCACCTTTTACTGCTTTCCTAAATGGTAAGAAGGAAAGAGCCATCCTGACCACCCTCCCTATGGTTATTCTATTAAACATCAATCTATTAAACATGCATCAAAGGTTTTCCTCTCCATAAAATTCCAGTAGAGATGGTTCCTGAAGTCTTAACACATTTGACTTATGGTCTGAATGCTTTAAAAACCATGAGTCAAAGGCAGGAGTAAAGATCCGGCAGCTACCTCTCTTTGTCAATTACAACTGTTGAATATTATCTGGATGTTCATAAACACTTTGCTTTGGGAGGAAGCTGAGGGTAAAGAAAGGCTATAAAACCTCACATTGGCTGGTAAAGAGACTTGCTTATAAGCATCACTGGTTTCCAATTTTAGCTTTTAGCTACATACTAATATTATGACACTTACCGCAGACAGTTGACTCCATGTCGATCTTAGAGGTTTGTACTGAATAACTATTTTTTCATCTGACTTGTGTTCTTTTGATTCTACCTCTTCATCGGAATCTATATCCAAAGCTTTTTCTTTGTAATTCTGATACAACACTGCGTTTTCTGCAATAACACAAAAAGGAAATTGATTTGAGGAGTTTCTAGACTACATAATTATAATTTTCTCTTTGATAGACAGTCTTGTTCAGAACAGATACCAGACTAGCATATTGCAAGTTACAGGAACAGCAATAAAGAAATTTAGTAAGGAAAAACAAAAAGGAACCCATTTTATTCTCCCCCATCCTGTAGGTAAGGGTTCTTGTGAATTTTGGCTGATTTAAGCAAGTAAGCAAGGTATGTGACGAGGAAAGAATAAAATCAACTGAAATTTTAAATAGGATCAGTTAGCTTCTTGTACTTATAATTGCAAACACAGAGCTGAAATGTATATAGTGACATCTTAGATTTTCAGTACTATATATAGGTCTTTTTTCTCATTCCCAGTTAAAATGTAATAAATTATGTTCACAAAATAATCAAATCATCCCATATTTAATCTTGTTGCATAATTTATACAAGCTATGTTTAGATTTCCTTTACATTTTAAATACTGAATGCACATTACTCTAATAAGATCCAAGAAACTGATAATATCTTAGCAACATGTTGTAAAGCCGCAGTAGTACTGAACATCGTGTTATTGGAAATAAAACGAATGGGCTTGACCTAAGTGTTTGAAGTCTCAATGAGAAATCCCAGATAGCCCCATTTTCAGTTAAATGTTAAGTCCCTTTATATTCCACATGAATAATAATAAATAATTAATATAATTCAAAAATACACACATAATCAGTTAGGAGACCTAGCAAGTCAACAGTAAGACGACTTTGTGAAAGTAAGCTGAACTATGTTTCAAGTCTTCTTATATGCCAATCCTATGAATATTTATTTAATTCTATAGAAGTTAGTTCTATGTATATACATGGGATCAGTCTGAACAAGTCTGCTTTCCTGTTATTAATACTCTTTGTGGAGGAGGATAGGAATTGGACTTGACCCCTGCTTTCAAACTTTCATGTTAGATTTCAACTGTTGTTCCATTTACAGCTTGGGGTGAAAGCCTAAGATTTATAAAATATAGAACATATAAATATGTTATAATGGTAATAAACAGTGTGAGGACACTGATGTGGAAGATGTGAGAATATATTAAAAACTGCATATATTAAACAAGCAGTGTATGTAATCAAATTAAATTTTTATTACTGTCACAGACCAGCATAAAGCAGTGTATGTCTACTGTAGCTAAAAAATGAAGCAGTCTCAAATTAAGAGAACCAAGGTGTTGAACGAACAAAGGCAAAGACATTAAAGGAAACTACTTGATGAGAAAACTAGGACAATATAACAAAGGGAAAATTATGAATTTAAAAAAAAATCCACTGACAGCAAAAGTAGTTTAACATGTGAAATGCAGGTGACCAACAAACAAACCAAAGTGTTGGCTAGGAAAGTGATCAATAAAACAATATGTAAATTAGGCCAAGAGGCAACAGTGATGACAACAGAAATTCACAACGCCCATGAGGATAGATGGGGAGGGCAAGTGGGAGATAACCAATGCATATATAATCCACTATAAGAAGATGAATAGCTCCCTCCCCCCAACCTTAACTATACAATATGACAGGATGGCAACTACTCCTTGCAATAGGAAGTCCCCTTCTCCTATTTTACTCTACTTGAATACATCATAAAGCTGGTCCAGAGAGTGCTCCCACCCAAGCTACTGGTGGAAGAACCCTACTAGATATTACAACAAAAATGCTAGTTTATATTTTCTGTAAAGGCTTTGGTTTTGTTTTCCCTCACCCTGATAATATAAATTAAACAGAAGAATCTATACCCTTGGTCCAAACTTTGCATTGCAGTGTAAAATGTAATTTGGTTCCACTTCTTTATATATCATTAAAAAGTACAGTACCCAACCAATTCTTACCTTGTCCATCAAAGGTCCCTTGTCCTTTGAGCATTTTCTTCTATAATATTTCAAAAAGAAAATAGAGAAGAGGAAGAGGAAACTGGTAAAAATAGGAATGTTCAGTGAATTGCATAAGAAAAATGAATTTAAAATGTTTTTCATAACATAGTGAATGACCAATGACAAACCTCATTAGTAAGTTATATTAGTAGCCATCTTCCAGGAGATCTATAACTTTGGTACAGTTCTGATTCTGAATCAAAACTTTCCAAAGCCATTCATAAAGAAAAAAAACACACTCTCAGAATCACTGCCTCCACTGACATTAGAGGAATAGATATTTACAAATAAGAGAATTTCATATGCATATCACTAATATTTTTTGTTCAAGAATAATTTAAAACTTTTTGTTAAAGTATGAAATGATTCATTGTGGTAAACTGTAATAAAATGCATAAAATAAGTGATTTTGTTAGGCTGAGATCATCTTTAAAGTCCATGGCATTTACGTAAAAAAGTCAGTCTTTTTTCCTAATTATCCTAAGAAAACTTCTGATTCTATAGAATAGGGGTTTCAATATACAATCATAAAAACTAATTCACACACCAGGCTTTATCTAAATTTGTGAAGATTTTTAAAGCATTTTCTTTTAGACTCTCTATATATTCCATCACAGGTAATGTTATTAAGGCTTAAATTTTACATTATTTGTTAATAAGTCTAGGGGGTTAGACTGAAATTTGGGTACATGCAATGCGACTGGCATAAACAGACCTCCTTATTCCACCTCCACCTAGCAGATTTTCCAGTCTCCCAAAGTTATACAGAAAATCAGAAGTATCAGCCAGAGAAAACAGGTGAGAGGTCAGATGAAGGCTGGATTTACAGAGATACCTCTTGCATCCCAATTTGCCTCATTCACCTTCATCATGAGAAAAGAGTGACAGAATATAGTAGCCATGATCTGTTGGCCAAATCACAAGTAGTTAAGTTTATGTATCAACCTAAGCCATAACCATAATTTGCAAAACACAATGGCTGGATTGCAAAATGCATTAAGCTACACGTTGCAGTAGAATCACTGGAGTCAACAAACCACACAGTCTCCAGAGACTTAAAAAACATTCCTCAGATGGTATCCACAGATGACCAAAATGAAATATTTAAAAAAATAATTTTCAAATCCTGTCAGTTTTTTTATGTTTGAATACACACATTCCTCCCTGAAAGTACAGGATGGAGAGGGGTTAGATTATGACATTTTTAAAGAAATATTATTTGTAAGTTTTAGTGGCCAGACAGCTGTACCTTGATGCCTAGCAGTGATTGGACTGCAAATTAAAAAAAAAAAAAAAAGGAATTAAGCATGCTGTTTTTAGTAAAGACACGACAGCAAAACTACATACGAGAAATCCAGTAATACATCTCTGCCATAGTTAGTTCAGTTATACAAATGTTGCCCTTGCACAAATTATTTATGAGTTTGAAATCTTTTCTTCATGCAAAAGGGTCTGTGTTAATGGTTAGTGAGTAACCCTGTCAGTGTAATGAGGTTCAGCAACAGATAATGAGCCATTTTGACTAATATAAATTAAGATGCCAGAAATGTTGATTTGTAGATATCTATCCCCTTACTCCAACGATCTTAAAAGAAACCCCAATTCTAAATAATGCTTCCAAATATACACATTGGACTCTGTACTGGATATGCAATCTGCAAAAAAAGTTCATGAAGAATGAATTCCATTAGCCACCGTAGAAAGAACAATACTTTCATTCTGTTCTTCCAGTTTCTCAATTCCATGATTGTCCTGATATAAAACTGATAGAATCTCTATAAAGTGAATTCATCTTGAGGTATAACTGAAGAGCAGTTGCATAAACAATACTTCCATAAAGGTTTATACAGACATTTACAACCAGGAAATAATTAGCATAGCACCATCAATATAATGATAAATCAACATATACAATCTCAAATCTTTAACCAGGGCTTATTGACAAAATCTGGAACAATCATGTTTACTACATAACCCAATGTTATAAACTTGAGCGTCTGAAGGGAAGCTTATGAAACAGTAATCTCATTCTCTCAAACACACATCTACAGGTGAAACTCGAAAAATTAGAATATCGTGCAAATGTTCATTTATGTCA